CCAGTTGTCAAAAAATGCAACACACACTCACATACACACAGCTCCCTGCCCAGTCTACTACACTCTACAAACATTCCCTCAGTTCCTAAGGCATCACCTCTGACCTGCCGACCCACATAAACCATTGCATTTCCTCTGCATGTATGCTGGGAATATCATTATACAGTGGTACCTCGGTTCACAAACTTAATTCGTTCCAGGATTCTGGTCGTGAACCAAATCAAACTGTGATCAGATGGCGATCTTGACCAAAGGAAGACACGACCATGTGTCAGAGCAGGGAAGATGGCTGCAGTTGTGTTCGTCTCCCGATGCGGAGTTTGCAAACGGTTGTGAATTGTTCGCGAACCGAAGCGTACGTGAACCGAGGTACCACTGTACTTCCAGAACACCCATAATTAACCCATCCTAAAGGAAATATAAAGAAATATATGGAGATTGCCACTGCTGACCTCCTCCTGAAAATACAAGCTGCCTGTCTCGGACTTCAAATGCTTAATACTGAAGTCACTGACCAGGCACAGGTACGCAGATTAGAAAGTCAGAATTCCTAACCTGCACGTTTTCGGGCAGTAGTTTTTAAAATATGGAGGCCATAGGGAAGAATCAGCATAATAGCCAAGGAAGTTGTGTCTTCAGAAGGAGGTGCCCCCGTACTGACCAAACAATTCATTTAATTCCCCAGTCCTTTTAGCAACAAAAAGTGAAAGGATTGCAAACTTCAGTTTCATATAGAACTGCTAGAAAATATGTCCCGTGAGCCCACAGTCCCAACACACGCACACACACACACACTAACTCATCCTCTCAACATAAACTACTATGAAAAGATTGGCCCAAGTCAGATTTGAATCTGCAGATCACACATCCACCTACACCAAACAGAAAATGTGATTTCTTTCATACCCAACCAAAGGCTCCCCTATTCTCAAACACACATTACACTTTCAAAGTCATCCTTTCTGAACGGAGAAGAAAAAACCCCAAAAAACAAAAATTTAACCATAGACTTGGGTCAAATAAAACTAGCTCAAGTAGAATAATAAAAAGTAAACCAGAGTACAAATACTGTATTGAAAAGACTACTAGTAAAGTAGGCTATACACGCTTCGAATTTCAGCCGGTCCTTAATGAACGCTGTTGGCACCTTTTCGTCCGGCATCCCTCAATCAGCTGATCTAAGGAGCAGGTCGGAAAGTTCTCGGCCGAACAGAGCTAGCTAGCCAATCAGCTGCAAGCTCCGTTCGGTGTATTTTGACAGCACCCACCGATCACTTGCAGAATACAAAGGAAGCAGCGGGGGATTCGTCCATTATGCCGTAAGCGTTGATTGAGGAATCGGTTCTATTTTTTTCATTCAGCCCGTGGGTTGAGAAAAAAAAAAGAAGAACCGTGTATATCCAGCTTTAGACTAGGTCTAGTCCAATAACATGGTAACATTCATACAGACTGGAGGAGATATGCCAGAAAACTGTAGCAAAGTCACCTAACAGCAGCCAAATGAGTTGCTTTTTTTGAAAAAACATTCATTTGGCTGATATTTTGGGGGCAACTGCTAAAATGTTTCCAAGGCTTCCTCACAAAAACATTTTATATTTACAAAAATATATAAAATAATCCCCAAATGACCCGCTGAAAAAACTGAATTTGCAAACAGAGTGTCTTGCTGTACCAAGCGTCTCTGGACAAGTGGCTAGATAGATATACCACCAACACACATTAATATGACACTATACTTTAATCATATCCATAGCAATGAAAATAAAGAATGTATTTAAGCTGGTCTCACACCTATGCATTGTAGTTATATACAACATAATGGAGGGAATTTATCAAAACTGAAACAGCTGTGCCCGGCAACCAATCAGCTTATTTCCTTCATTTTCAAATCTTAAAATGAACAAACTGAAGAAAAGAAGCTGATTTTGTCTGTTCCAGTTTTGATAAATTCCCCCCAATGTAATGGCAACCAAAATCTACGCACAAGTAGAGCAACCTGCAATGCACCGGTGCTGCAGCACACCTCAGCACACAAGCTGTATGTTGTAGTGTGCTGGATTTCAAAATGCTGCAGGGACGTTTTTCCTTTACATTAGGGATGTTCAGAACCAAGTGCAGTACTCGGTACATGTATAAGTATAAGTACAGATACTTTTCCAGCTCCAAGACTAGAGAAAAATTCTAAAGTTAGGAGGCAGCACACGGAGCTCCTGGGATTTGTATATCTCTGTTTTAATGAATGATATTTTTATATTTTAATGAATTATTTTTTTTATAAATATATATATAAGGGATGCACTATTTTTTCAAGTACAAGTACTGATACATTTTTTTTTTTTGCCATGTGACAGTTTTTCTAAAAAAATACAGACTAATAATTTCAGGACAGTGGTGGAGCGCCAGAGCCAGGTCCCAGCTGCAACCACGGTAGTTCCCATGAAAATGCCCAAGAATCGGCACTGTATCTGAACATCCATACTTTCCATTGCTGCATAGTGACACATTAACATGAGTGCAGTAATGCACTGGAAAGAATTGCAAAATTGAGAAGGAACCCTAATAGTTGATTTCTACAACCCCCTCCCCCCCTATATACACAATAAGACAAAATAGACATCGGGTAAGCTGCAGGAATTGGTTTTGTTTAGGCTTTGTTATTTGGCATGACCCATAAAAGATGCTTCTATATTTCAACAGAGATACATTTATGTACACTGAAATCAGGGAACAAATATTGTACAGTTTTATACACACAGGTTTAAGTTGAAATGCATGGCTAAAAAAAATAAACAGCTTTTACGGTCATTTTTCTGCCTTCTCTCTTCCTATGTTTAGCTGTCTTTAAGTGTAGGTGGCAGATGTCACTTTGCCGACTTGTGGAATTCCAATTGCAAAAAAAAAAAAAAGAATTTACATTTGCTATGGTTTACAGCTTCCACCGAAATGGAGGAAATAAAAAATAAAACTTTTTCAGAGACTGGTGTAATTCATAATCCAAAGCCATACGCCTACACCTTACTTAGGCACAATGCAAATAAATAACAGCAGGCATACCATTCACAAAGGGATGACCGAAAACCTATATGTGTGTGCGTGTGTGTGTGTAAATATATATACACACACACACACATCTCAAATACGCATGTACAAAGACTATCCAGTAGTGGGAAGCATTTTGTATTAAAAATGGAATTGTGAATAGCTTAGTGCAGTGGGAATAATTGAACGGTCCTTATGTCCATATATTTCAGTCTTTAGCGGATATACTCCTTACTGAACATTTAAAAAGTGAGCACTCTTGAAAAGTGTACCATTGGGGGAAAAAAAAAAAATCACTTGATAAAGGCAATGTCTGGAATTTTTCCCTCGGCCTGTAAAACATACAAATTAGAGTTTAGAAAGAGTCTCAGGGCTGAATACAAACCTTGTTCCATAAACAAGTTCTTACTTTTAGCCTCATAAAAATCTGCACAGACTGCTCCCAGTCCCAGCCATTGTCCTGGAGACACCTGGGAAAAGATGGAAGAAGGGTAAGACGACTTCTATAGACTTTATATATATTACATTTTTCTTAAAGTATTCCTAAAGCAATAACTTTCTTTTCGGTGTTCCAGAGTAGGGAATAGTTGAGAGACAAAATCACTGTAAATAGAGGGATGTCTCTGCTTAGACATTTGTCACTGGGGGGTAGGAAAATAAAAGTCCCTATTGGAAGATTTCCCCTCTATGCCTGTTCTGGTGACTTGGAATTGGAATTTCTTACTACTTTCCATTCCAACTACAGTTGTCACCAGAGCAAATACAGCAGAAAAAAAAAAATCTACACTAAGGCCTGGTTCATACCTAGGCGACAGCTTTCTTGCGTGTTTTTATGTGCGTTTTATGCGCATACGTCAAAACGCACGTTTTGTAGCTCGTTGATGTGAGAAAAAAAGCATAAAACGTGCAAATACATGCAAACGTGCAGTTTCAAGCGTTTCCTATGAGTCTATGGGGCCAAAACCTATGTGTGTGTGTGTGTGTGTGTGTGTGTGTGTGTGTGTGTGTGTGTGTGTGTGAGTGTGTGTGTGTGAGTGTGTGTGTGTGTAAGTGTGTGTGTGTGTAAGTGTGTGTGTGTGTAAGTGTGTAAGTGTGTGTGTGTAAGTGTGTTTTTGAGCGTCTTTTTAAGGGCAGAAAAAGCGCTACAAAACATTCAGTGTGGATCAGGCCATAGGGCATATAATATGTGCAGGAAACCACAAGAATATACAAGTGGTTTTTTTTTTCACCTACAGAGACAAAAGGAAAATTATATAGATTCAGAAATGCGTGCAAAGAAAGCAAACCCTCAGACATCTGCCTGAATATCTTACTTCTGAGACCACTCGAGGTTCATGCCAGAGTGCTGACTGAATGCTTGCACCATGTCCTGGGGTACAGGGGCCAGCACAGGTACAGGGCTGCTTGATGGAGTCGGAGCCGGCGTGGCAAAGGCTTTGCGAATCTCATCCGTGCTTGCATTCCTTATAAATTGTTGATCATTTACCAAAAGAAGAAGTCTACAAATAAAAAAGGTACATTTTGGTTACAAATGAGTTTCACATACACATATAGGTAACAAAAAGACAGACAAAAATCAGAGATCAGTATATACAGATATTCGTAGAATGTGGACATCCTATGTTTTGTTTAAATTCAAAGTAAAAAGAAATGAAAGCTCCTGGCAACAAACGTTTGCGTGTAACAGACAGTTTTTGTCTATTGATGATTTGATCTTTCTTTGGCACTAAACATCCCACGTCTAGTTACATGAATGTAACTTCTAAAACAATAAACTGGCTCCAGGTGCTCACTGCTCAATTTTACATTATAGTCACGAAGCTATTAGACAGAAGAGCTTCAACTAAAGACCTTGGTTAGGGTTAAGGGCTTTCATTGCTGAAGTTCCCTTCTAATGCCTTCTTGCGAGACAATTCTAATATCACCATGCCAAGGCTGTTTGCAGTAGGCGGATCTCAGGGTGCTGCTAGTAGTTTGTGACTGTCGAAGTAGAATTATTGCCAGCACAGCACTACCTTCCTCTGCCCCCCTCTGATGCACATTTCTCTTAATGGCATCCTGCAGATAGCAGCTGCTTTGGAGCACCGACAGTGGGAAGGTTGTTCATTGCTGCTATATGTGCTATTTGCTGTGCACTTCCCTACAAAGATGCTGCCCTTTCTCAACACTGATGACAGGGGAATTCTCTACCCATATAGGTAGCTACACCCACGTTACAGCTGACGCCCACAGGACAACGCACAGATTTGAAATACTGTAGACTTGCAACTGCTTGAAGTCAGAGGGCAATATGAAGTTTTTCCTATGTGTACAGCACTACATGCAGTCCCTCCGTCAGGCTACCACTGATGTGGACTCAGATTAGAACCCCGATATTACTTCACAGCAGTAAGGCATTAGGACAGGCCCACGCTAGAATAAATTTATGAAGATGGGGCAGAAGCATTACAAGTATGCTTAGCCTGTGCGCACGTGGAAATAACCGACGTGTAGAGCAATCCTCATTTTTGCAAGTAGGTGCACCCGACCTGTGTTTCCACTCGAATGCACGCATTCGCGGGGGTATTTTTTTTTTTTTTGTGTTAACTTTATTGCCATTACATGGGAATGGGGTGGGCTTACATTGGAGAATACAGGCACACTCTAAGGTGACATTAGGGGTCACCTTTCCTCTTTACAGGAGCTATTCAAGTACATATGGATTGAATAGCTGCAGTGAGGGAATGACAGCTGCCTGCAAAGGCAACTGAATGTAAACACAGCAGGCAGTGGGTGTGTGCATTAGCCAGCCTGCTATTGCAATTTGAAATAGCAGGCTGGCTATTGCACCAACACACTGCCTGCTGTCAATCAGCAGAGGAGGGACCTAAAGGAGAAAGTACTCCCTCAGGTCCTGCTCTGCTGATAGAAAGCAGGCAGTGGGCGGGTGCAATAGCCAGCCTGCTATAGGCTATATCAAATTGCAATGGCCAATACCAGGCTGGCTATTGCACACACCCATCGTCTCAGAGCCTCTTTAACCTGTCCAGCAGCGCTACACACTGTGTCCTGGCTAAACCCCCTCTCTGGCATCGCTCTCTCAGAGCGGCACCTGACAGCCCGTCTGTGTCCCCTCTGATGTCTGCTGCCTCTACTGATACAGGCAATGGAGAGCACTGGTGATCAGAGGTAACGCAGCCTGTAGGGGAGAGGAGAGTAGCTGAGCAGAGTGGCGGTGGTGTTGGCAGCTGGAGGGGGGGCGGAGCCGGTGGATTAGCTTTTGGGCACAGAGTCTGGTCGGAATCAACCAATCAATAATGAGAATTGTTGACAATGATTCTCATTATCAATTTTATTGAATAATTATTGCAGAGATATCTAAAGCCATGGGCCGAGCAGATATGGAATCAGCAGAGAAAGACAACAAAGTGAGCTTGTGACTTCTGCGCTCAGCAAACATCTGGCCTACTTCGCCCAAAAAGTCATGCATGACTGCAGTAAAATCCTCCCTGAACAAAGACGAGGAGGTAGCTATGCCGAATGGAGCAAGGGACTCTAAAGATAGCATAGACTTTAGGAGCAGAGGGGACAAGGATTACAGGCTGCAGACATTGACGCATTAATAGGCACAATGTAAGCAGCACCGAAGCCATTAGTGGAGCGTGTGCTGGAGGCGCCAGGTACATACAAGACATGTTGCAACCATGTGCTGTAAAAGCAACATAGCTCAGAGGTAAATCAGAAAACCCAACCACCGGGAGCAGGTGTAAGGTTGGATGGATGAAGGTAACCAGGTCACCGACCGACGTTTGGTGTTCCACATGGCTCTGAGGAGCAGTGGGACGATGTCTTTAGAGACACGGCAAGCAGCAAGGTCAACAGCTCTGCATCAGGAAAGCAGCTAACTTGTTACTTGAGCAGGGTCTAGAAAGCACTTAAAACTGGAACCCAGTGCCTGAAGATTACCCTCCAGGCTAGCCCCCTAAATGTACGACACTTCAAAACGTAGCTGAGAGCAGATCCAGATAGAAGCATAAAACTGGGCATGCTGGGAATGGGAGGGTTTATGCTGGTTGGCCTACAATTTTTTTCAAATCCTCTTATAGGTGGCGGTATAACCTGAGAGCATATGCATCCTGTATCCCTCATGTACAAGAAAGAAAAAAATACAGGCTAACAATGCGATATTTGCATGTCTTGTATTCCTAAAAAACCCAATAAAACATATTGAAGAAAAAAATACAGGCTGATATATTTGTATATATCTTTTATGACGTGGAGTCAGACTTACCCTTCAGTTCCTGGCACTGCTATGAATACCCGAGTGAAAGCACGTACAGGATCACTGGATTGCCCCTCAACTGGAGGAAAAAAGGAGTAAACATATCAGCATAACGACTCGCTCTTAGCAGTCTCTATACACAGCACTTTAGCACTGACTGGTATTACAATATTTATGTAAAATTATCTTCTGCTTGTCACAAAGCCTTAGGATAACATCAGCAAACAGTTTTATGCTAAAGGGAAAGGTACGGGGCAAGGAAGCAAACACCACAGATTAAATACCCATCTTGCTTCCTTCAGAATCCCCATTTAAGACGGTCTTCATTGTCTTGGGAGAAGGGGTGAGAAGAAAGCTCCTCCAGTCACTGCTACACTTGTACTGACTTGACTACAAGACCAGATACATGGAAGCTGCACATAAAAATACCCCAGGCTCAACCCCTAGCCAGACATACGGCTCAGATTTATTGTTATGATCTGTGGAAAATGACATTGTCGTAACCCAGATCATGGGCCAATATGTATGTGTTGTGGGGAGGCTTAGCCAAAGCTCAGGGCAGACAACCTGGCAGAGTGCTGACTCAACTAGACTGCAACATGTGAGAGCATATCGCCTCTGGGGTTTGCCTCCAAGCATCTCTGGTAATGCAGCATCCTGCAGAGACACTGCTTGCACTGCAGTGAGCCACAAAACCAAAAGAGGAAGCATCAGTTGGAAAAGGAGACTGCCCATATTTTTAGTAATTTAGACTCACCTTTAAACACTCCATTAACCACAAAGCAAAGTAAAGTGGTCTGCAAAAAAAAAAAAAATCTCTGTGAGAATAAAAAAGCAGCAAAACAGAGCATCAAAGTACCATTAACCCCTTCATGACTGAGCTAGTTTTTAGTTTCTGTTCCTAAATGACTGACACACTTTTTACATTTTTGCTGTGTGATTCTTCCACAGCAGCAAGTTTTGATTATTATTATTATTTTTAGAATTTTTTTTATAATAATGATAGTATTGACTGGGGTTTGAGGTTTCACTATGTAGCATTATCTAGCTATAGTGTGGGAAACTACCCAAACAAGCCATGTAATCCAGTCATTTAAGCTAAATGAGATTTTTGCAATATTGTAATGTTTCCAGCTTCTAAAGAAACCCACCGAGACAGGATTATGGTATTGCTAAAGGCAATTGGATAGGCAGAGGTCACCTCAAGTCTGACAGCTGCTCGCCTATTAACTGTTTGACCTGATCTTCCAAATAATTGATTTTTACTTGTTTAACCAATAGTTTAACATTAGCCAAAACACTCTTGCTTTATTAATCTCATTAAATACCTTGGAATTAAAAGCCCTTAATGTATTATCTGTGGAAAGGACCACAGGAGGCAAGTGTCATGCATTAATGTCACTTACATCCATACTGTCCTTTCCAAGATGCAACTCTCCAAAACAAAATGTTTCCAACAGAATTAGTAGCCACAATAGAAGTCTATGGAGCCGTCATTGTGGTGACATATTCCACTAAAACAGGGACGAGTCTGAAAAGCTTGACAGTGAAAGACTGGTGACATTTTACACTTGCCTCCAACAGTCCTTTACAAATCAATTCTGGCAGTTTTTTTTAAATCAATGCTCTACAACTGACATGTTTACACATCTGGACCACATGTGGTAGGCCAAAAGCAGACTTTTTTGTTCTCTTTGTACAGTGACTAGCTAGCCAGCAAGTTTAACAAACTCTTCTGATCTTTTTGTAGTTCGGAATCTAAGCAAAATGTGCTCCTTGTAACTTGTCCTCGTCACCAACAAGCCAAACATGTTTCTTCTGGTTTATACTAAAGTTGAGAATACAATGCCATTATATACACAATGACAAGGGTGCAGGCTGTTGTATTAAAGTGTAAGTTTAGGCAGGGAAAAACAATTAAGCACATTTTTGCAATACATGCAAATTTCATGTATTGTCTCTTTAACCACTTGCTGACCGTAGTGTTTACACCCCCTTCCTGTCCAGGCCATTTTTCAGTATTCAGCGCTGCGGTACTTTGACTGACATTTGTTCTGTCATGCAACGCTGTACTGAAATTAATTTTATACCATTTTTTGGGGACAGATAGAGCTTTTTTTTGATGGTATTTAAATCACCACTGCGGTTTTTATTTTTTACTATATAATGAAAAAAGTACCGAAAATTTCGGGAAAAAAAAATTTTTTTCCTACGTTATGTTACAAAATTATTATTACCCACATTTTTGGCAAAATATAAAAGACGGGGTCACGTCGGGTAAATAGACACCAACTATGTTAAGCTTTAAAATTGCGTGCGCCCGCGAACTCGCAAAAAATACTATACCCAAAATTGGCCATAGGCGATGCTTTAAAAGCCTTTACCGCTCATCAGTTTGGTGTCATCAGTGGTTGATGGCCCTAAAATTATTGCTCTCACTGCGACTTTCGAGTCGATATGTGAGGAGTAATAGATGCAACCGTCGTTTCCGCACGTAGGCACACTTGATGCATGTGTATGTGGGGGCGGGGGACTTTAAAAAATTTTTTTTTTTTATTGCTTTGATATGCGACTTTTAATTTTTCAATATTTTTTTAAACTTATTCTTTTAAACCTTTTTTTTCCACTTAGCTTTATTGCCATCACATAGGGGACTAACAAGCCCCCTTTGTGATAGCCAATTTTCAGTGTCAGGTCCTCTTTATGGAGACATCAAGGGTCTTTAAGACCCCTTTATGGAGACATCAAGGGTCTTTAAGACCCCTAATGTCACCTAAGGACCCCCAGAGAAGCTGATGAAGCAAACACCTGCTTCACCAGCTTCTCTCCGGTTTCTGTACCGGAGAGTGACAGAGGAATGCGGAAGTGATGTAATACACATCACTTCCTGCATTCCGAAGAGTAGGAGATCAAATGGAGTTTGTGTACTGATCTCAGTTTGATCTCTGGCCACAGAGCTGTTGTGCTGGTCCTGGGCTCGCACCGGGCACAGCGGAGCTCGGGATCGCCAGCAGCGGCTGCAACGGAGGGAGGCCGCACACATATCACAAGCGATCGGGCATCTCTACAGACGCCCGAACGCTTGTATGTAAACAGCCATCGCTGGCTGTTTACATTCCAGGCTGATTTCCCGCTCGTGCCCGCCGCCTAGCAGCGGGCATGAGTGGGGCGGGATGGGACGTTTAAAAACGCCCACTCGCATTCAAGAAGCTGCTGTCCGGCCGTTTAATTACAACAGCCGGACAGCAGGTGGTTAAAAACACCAAGTACAAAGAAATAACTGTTTATCCTGCCAGAAATCCTGGAAGCTCCAAACTGCTGGTGAGGTGTCTCGGATGCACTGCACTTAAATCAGCAGTGCTGTCAGCCATGCCTGAGTTATGGTGAGAAGGAAGGGGGGTGTTCTGTAGTCTAGTGGTGTATTGGGCCCACAGCACTGCTTGGGATTTCAGTGCAGCAAAGGCTATGCAACAGAAAGTTCGGAGCACACATTTTCTGGCAGATCAATGGGTATTTTTTCTAAACTCTCTCCCCCATCCCACCCCACCCCGACATACACTTTAGAAACAATACATTTGACTCGAAGGAATATGATGAAGATCAAAATATTAGGTTAGTGTTCTCCGTACACTTACAGCCTGAGCAGTGACGTCCACAACAAAGGAGTTCAGATCATGCTGGGTCTTTGGAAGTTCATTCAAGAAGCTAACAACATTGAGACGTTTGTGCTTAAGAAGTTTAAACCGAAGCGCTGAGAAAAGAGCATGCAAAATATATATTTTTTAAAAATATAGATAGATTTTACATACACACACAATTTTGCTCATGGGTAAAACATCAAATATTTATTTGCAGGAATATACTTACAGGGATCTCGCAGTCGCTTTAAATTTCTGCTGTTAGTGAAATAATCTCCCAGACTGCTCCTACACCAATACAAACATCATGTTATAGATATGAAACTTGATTTGCGTGTGGGTGTTTGAGGGTGTTATTCCTAGAGTTTGATTTGCGTGTGGGTGTTTGAGGGTGTTATTCCTAGAGTTTGATTTGCGTGTGGGTGTTTGAGGGTGTTATTCCTAGAGTTTGATTTGCGTGTGGGTGTTTGAGGGTGTTATTCCTAGAGTTTGAAAAGACAGTGCTACACACCTGGCAGGGTTCTGCCCTGACACAGCTGGGATGCTAAGAGAACAGCAAGCTTCATCATGATAAACATTTAGCAGGCCTTGGCGATCTTCACCATCGTAGATAGCATAATATCTGCAGAAGTAAATAAAAACTCTATAAAACCAGTGAAGTCAGGGACAGCAACAAAAATTGACAACAGCTAACACATTTATAAATAGTGCTTAGGAGTGCTTCTGAGCCAAAGCACTTCTCAATGGTCAGCAAGGTAACTGTGCAGACCAATAAGCTCTCACCATTTGTGGCCATTATACTGCAGGGCTGCAGTGCAGTGTACAGACCGCACACCGGTCACAGGGGAAGGCGAGTGCTTCCACTGTAAAAAGGTATGAACAGTGGGGCAGGGAGAGGGGGCGGAGTGGAGTAGGTAATTTCATTTTATTAATCTGCATGGTTGCTCTGGGTTAGCAGTTGAAAATACAAAAGCCACTAAATCAAATATGGCAACCAATTTACTAGCATTTTTAGAAAAAGAATAACAAAAGCAGGCAGTATATTTTCCCGACCCAAGTTTTACTTTAAGGTGAACCTAATTTACGTAGTGAAAATAATGGTGCAAATGAGGATGGAAAGGGTAGTGCACATTGCAATGGGTTTCTTACATTATAAAATCTTTAAATGCATTTTTAAACAATATCTTGGCCACCCATTCCACTGCGCTCATTTTGCCTGTTTGCACTGAATAGCACGGAGTGTTTGGTGCGACAAGTTCAAATGTTAATTTAAGAGTTTATGGCTGGTTTCCTCCTCTAGCATTTTGCTCTTCCTGCTCTTAAGCATCTCAGAACATTACTCCCACCCAACTTAACTTGCTTATGAAGTAGTGGCACTTTGTAAAAGGATCAGAATAACTCAAGTGTGCTCTTTAACAATATAATGGAACTTTGAATATTTTTAAAAAGTTTATGGGACAGCAATATAGAAAGGTGATGAAGAAAATGAATTCACAAAACATCAAATGCTGACAAAAAAAAAGAAACCATAATTAAGTAAAGCTAACTTACTGTTGAAGAAATCGCAAAACTATTACTTTAATATTATCTGTAGCCAGGTAGCTGCCCTAAATGAGAAGACAGAACATGAAAAGGTAAAAAAAAGGAAAAAAATACAATACAGAAAACTGTCACCTGATTAGTAAAAGAAGCCAGTAGTTCTCACCTTGCATGGAGGAAGTGTGGTGGGGGTTTCTACATCAAATGTTATTGGTGGAGGAAGCTCATGTCCATCCTGTGATGGTAAAAGTAAAATATACAAAGTTAAATGTGCTCAAAATGAAGCCGTACACACCAAATTAAAAATTCCACATGAAAAAATAAAAATGTGCTATCCAAGGGCACATTGATCTACATGTCACTCTCAGCTTAGAGGACAGTCATATGCTGAGGTATACCAATTGTGGAAACTAGGGTTGCACAGATACTTTTCGAGTACCAGTGCCGATACTTGGCATTTTCATGAGAACTACCAGGGTTGCAGCAGTTGCAGCTGGGACCTGGCTCTGGCAATCCACCACTGTCCTGAAATCATTAGTCTGTATTGTTTTAGAAAAACTGTCACATGACAATAAACAAAAATGTATCAGTACTTGTACTTGAAAAAATAGTGCATCCCTTATATATATTTATTAAAAAAATTATTCATTAAAAATTAAAATATCAAAATATCATTCATTAAAACAGAGATATACAAATCCCAGGAGCTCCGTGTGCTGCCTCCTAACTTTAGAATTTTTCTCTAGTCTTGGAGCTGGAAAAGTAAGCTTGTAAGTACCCGGCAAGTACCAGTACTCGCAAAACTGGTATTTGTGCATCCCTTTATTTATATTTATAAAAACAAAAATCGTACATTAAAACAGAGATATACAAATCCCAGGAGCTCCGTGTGCTGCCTCCTAACTTTTGAATTTTTCTCTAGTGTAGTCTTGGAGCTCAAAAGTATCGGTACATGTACTTGTACCGAGTACTGTACTTGGTATCTGTGCAACCCTAGTGGAAACCCTTGGTACTCTATGGGTATTCCTCAGCGAAAAGGCCACCTCACTACAGCAAAGCAAGCTAGCTAGGTTCAGACCTTGTATCTCCATCTGCTCAAGTTACTGAACCACAGGGTAAATATTGCCAAAATCTGAACATTACTCAGATTCTCCTCATTTATGGAACACATTGGTAAAGAACGTTTTACGTCTCTATAGATTAACCTACAAAGCTAGAGGTCATCCTACCAAATTGACACGATCTGGGCTGATTAGATATCCTGCCCGCGGTACTGCTGATCTTATATGTTTTGATCTCTGTGAACATTATCAGTGCACTTTACATTATAAAAAAAAAAATGTAACATGTCATGGACAAGGTAGAACAATGAAACACCAAACAAGTTATTGATCTCACCAGTCGCAGTAGTTTTGGAAAGCGTTCTCTCATATTACTGTCGTTCAGAGCAGGTAAAATCCAGATGTTGACAGCCAAAGAAAAACAGAAAATGTTAGTAACAGCACATTGAGACCCCCAACCCACACTCCGAGCACCATGACCAAACCTTCACCACACCATACCCTAGTAGAGGGGTGTAGACAAACACTGTTCTCTGCAGTGAGAAGGTAGGAGTGCAGCCCTGCAGTCTGCCAGGACATTGCTGATGAAGGACACTGGCAAATAAAGACTTCCTGTACATTATTAAATCTGTGCTTGCATACGGTCTCTACCCATCTTGTCCAGCAAATGTCCTAACTTCACAAAGCTAAATACAATTTTGTGACATCATAGTCAACACATAAAGCAGTCAAAGCTAAAATTTTGTTTACACCAATGACCTCAACCATAGTCAATGCATATGCATTTCCTTTCAACATGGTTATCAAAAGAGGAATATGTATGCAACACTCATTCACAGCTTAGTCATATCATGAGAACCATACAGAAACGTTGCTAGGGGCTGGCACAGGAATAGTAAATCTAATGGGTAATCAAAAATAGTCTTGTTTTTGTATTACAAAAGGGCCTTTAATTATTACTAGACAAGGCCCATTGCAGAGATGGCATAGAGATAACAAATCAGTGTGGCATTTTATATGCGCAAACATAAATCGGGGTAAATGAAAAATACAGTGGCAGTATCAGCTCTTCAAATCAGTATTCTCTAATACAGTATGTTCCCAATGAATGTCTACTCCAACAAATGTACTGATTGAATTACATATATTTGATTATTTTCAAAAGTAATAGGTTGGAAAGATTGTGATGAGTAAAGAACAGACAGACAATAGTATGATGATGTTTGTGGAGGTGAAGGGCAATGAGTGGTTCAAATGAAAGGCAGAAAGGGAAGAGGTTGGGTAGAAATGGAAATGGTAGGCAATGAGAAGCTTAGGCATAGCCTCTTTCAACACAGGAAAATACGACTTTTACAACCTCCAGCTAACCCGTTTCCCATCTCCTCCACGTTAGGCCCTCCTATCTCCAAGCACAGTTGGGGTTAAATGCAGGATCACCCCTTTTACAGCTTGCAACTCCGATCCAAGGTAGCCCCACTGTGTGCACAAGGCACAATTGCTGATGTTATTTTCTTGTCCTTGGTGTTTCATGGGATGCCAGCCCACCTCCCTGGCAAGGCGGGTACAAGTCATTTAGTAGAATGTCAAAAGGGTAAAAGTACATTATTTGGGCTTAATACTGCAACCTACCTCCTTCAGTGATCTTCTCGTGGCTGTTATCAGGTCTGCCTTAGGTTGCTCCCGCATGGGGAATCTTACCCGTCATAGACCAGACAACCACATTGTATGAAAGGAGGCGGCAGTGAGTTCACAAGGGCTGAATGAAGGGGCTTTCATAGGGATAAGAGTTAGATGACTCATCTTATTCTTGGCTGAGATAAAGGAGGTGTAACAAAGGCAAGTTACTTCACCTGAAGCCTAAGGAGGAGGAGAGGCAAGATAGAACAATGGGTAATGGTTAACCTGTGGACTAAGACTGTACCAAATGGAAAGGGTGAAATAAAATAAAAAAGTAATTATGGATGTGGAAATAAAATAGTGTGATGTGCAGCAACAGAAAAAGAAAATGGAACAGAGAAACACAATCAAGCTAAACAGATTACTTGATAGATAGTAGGTGTTGGTTGTGTGTCTGGAAAAGAAACAGAAGGAAATTTAAAAAAGCAGAAGACACCGAAGAGCTTTTTAATGTACATGCCACAAATTATTTCACAAACCTTGCTATAAATTATAGATAAATTATTACCGGACACAGGGGGGCCTCTACCCAAATAAATACAGAACAAGTTGTGAAGAATAGGACACAGGATTTGGTGCACAAATATCACTGAAATGACACTTTCCAGTAAATGTCTCCCATGCATGGATCTCATCAGATGACACTCTGCTTCAGAAGGAACATTGCCTCTTATGCAATCAAATAAACATAATTGCACATAACATAGCTGGGCTTCTACTAGTTATGCATTTAATACACAAATGTACCTCACACTAGTGTTAGGGTCAGTCACATGAGAATGTCAAACAACTGAAATGCTAATAAAATCACTAATTTATATGGTCAGGTAATTTAGCCAAGTGCAAAAACTAAAACACAAATGAGTATATAATAGAAAAAAATCATATGGAATACAAAGTTACTACCTCAAAAACAAGCTAAAGGATATAAGTGTTTAGTAATGTAAAATACCATTATATATTACAAAAGTAAAACAAATTACCGTTATCTAGTATAAAAAAACCAAATAAGACTGGTACCCAATTTCTGTCTGTCTCTTCCTCTTCCCTTCCCCCACATATTTCCTCTCACTTTTGTCTACACTGCCCCATCACTTTTCTGTAGATTACAGGAATTCATACGCAACCCACTGCTCATGAACCTGTAGAACTGCTCCAAGCCTAAATTCAACCTTTCCAAAGATTGTTTTTTTCTACTTGAGAAGCTTAAGAAATAATCTTATCTTCTTTTCTGAGATGGGGCAAAATAAAGTAGTTTTTGTAGCAATGCGATTCATAAGAAATATACTTTACCCATTGACCTTTTCTTATTATGGTATTATGATATTTTCTATGCATGGGGATCTATCTCGAATTAAAATCTTTTTGGCAATCAATGGGAAGAGCCAAATCAGAAATAAAAACATTGTATAACATTATATATATGGACTCCAAACTCACCGACAAGTTGAAAAACACAAATGACACGTTCTTATCCCATAACGCTCGTCAGTTGAGTGTAAAACCACATAGGTCTCACAGTAGTAACCCCCAATTCAGTTCTGTGGAGCTCAAGATTCAAGTTTTTACTGAAGAAACATTTGGAAGTCATTTTCAAGGGCTGCTTTAAAGTGCAAAGCAGAAGAAAACCAACCCTGACGATTGATTGAAAAGCCAGGCAGCTCGGGTGATGGTTAAGGCTTCAGCAAAACCTCTTTCTAACATGTGTCAAAAGGTAAGAAACTGCCGGACTGACCTGATATATGTGTTCTGGTCTCGGAAGTTGTCGCAGAGTGGGTTTCCATCCAAGTACAGAATTTCGAGCTTCAGACCTTTAACCTTATCCAGATCCTTTTCTGATCTTAGCTACATAAAAATGAAAAACAGTGGGTATAAATGATTGCCTCTTCCAATACTGGGCAACTTGCTTAGACAGCAGAAAATAGGAATTTTGTATTTACAATAAAATCATTTTCTTGCAATCCATTGAGGGACACAGGGAATTTTTCACCTTAAGGTTATACTGCTGCTTAAGGGGTTTGGACACAAGCACGCAAAACAGAAAATTGTAGGCCAGCCCAAGATATCCTATCCCGCTGCCAGCATGTGTAGGTTTTGTAGCAAACATTACCAAGAGCACAACCAAAACACACAATGTGGTGTGTCCCGCAATGGACTCCAGGAAAAGATTTTTATGGCGAGTACAAAAAAAATTCTATTTCTCATCCATGGAGGAACACAGGAAGTCTTTCACCTTCAGGATGTCCAAAAACATTGCAACTGAAGGGTGAGCAACACAGGAAGCAATCGCTTACAGGCCAAACATAATATATATAAAAAGCAGGGCAATGCCTGCAGCTCAATAGCTGCCAGAAGGACCTTATGCCAGAAGCAAGCATTAGATGAGGCCCCAAGCGCCACTTGGTAGAAAAACTGTGTGAACAGAAAACCAGGTGTCAGTCTTGCATTAAGAACCAATGCTTGAATGATCAAGAAACACTCACAGCCCCTGAAATATGTCTTACCAGAGAAAGAAGAGAACCACTCCTTGAGGACAGAAGGCCTAAGCCTCTTATCTAATCCCATTACAGACCCAAAAGCAAATAAGGTCCAATGCATGGAAAGGCTGTCAAGGTCAGACAGACACTCACTTTGCAGAGGGGTTGACTACCAGAATGTTCCTATGTAAAGTCCTGGAATGGAGAAAAAGGTACCGCTTCAAAAGGTACCATCAACCCCAGTATTCTCATGCAGGTTGTCAGAGTGGAACAGCGACAGAATCCAAGCAACTGAACTTGATCCTGCAACATCAATATTTTGCTCTGAGGAAGGAACACTTTTGTTTGAAGAGTATCCAAACAGAAGACCCAAATACTCCAAGCAATGTGACAAAACTAGGGACAACTTTTCAATGTTCAGAATCCACCCAACGTCCTCTAATGTCCGCAGCACTGTCTAGACCAGTGGTGGAGAACCTTGGCACTCCAGCTGTGCCAAAACTACAAATCCCAAGATGCATCTGCCTCTGGCAGTTATGTCTGTGGCTGTCAGAGCCTTGCAATGCCTCATGGGACTTGTAGTTCCAAAACAGCTGGAGTGCCAAGGTTCGCCATCACTGGTCTAGACATTGAGCTCAAAGGTAGGAAGGGACTGTTCTCAAAGTAGAAGGTAGCCAAAGTATCTGATAATTGGATTGCCCTTCTGGAGGCAAAAAACCAAAGCAAGAACTTTTGAGAAATCCTTGGAACCAAAAGCAACTTGAAGGGAAGAGCCACAAACTGAAATCAGTGAAAGAAACATTGAGGAGCTGGAAATATAGGAATGTGTAAGTACATATTCTTTGAGTCTAAGTAAACCAGAGGTGACAGGTGACCGAATGGATTAATTTTTTGTGAATTTGTGAACATGAGTGATTTTGATCCAGAATCAGACAAAGTCTTGAAAATGCTCGGCCAAAGGAATGGAACACCACCTAGATCCAACAGACCTTGAACAGTGTAAAATAAGGTTTGTTCGATGCTGCTAAGACGTAGGAAGCCGGAAAGCAAAGAACCAAGGAGGAGAAGGTGGATGAAAATATATTCTGAGATTTGAGTTTCCCACGTCTCTGGAAACTCCATCAGGCACCGCCCCCCCCGCAAGTCTAGGTAACAGAGCATATGCCACAATAAATGAATAACTACTGTCCAGACAGTGAGAGAAGAGTACATGTTAGGGAGCAAGCAGCGCAGCCACACAGCATACAAAAATAATGCAGTTTGTCTACATATTTCCATCAGAGCTCCTGTCACAGTGACAGCTAGCATCAGACACCCTTCCCACAGCCCTGATCTCTTTCTATGTAACTCAACGCAGAAGCATTGTGCCACATTGTGATTAGGTTGTCTGCCGTCAGTGCTCCTATGGAGTGCTCAGTAGCAGAAGCTCAGGACCTGATTTAGTTCCAGGGCTTATTGCTGGACTGCAGCTGTGTTCCTCTTTCGCTCTGCATCCAGCCAACTGAACTTCACATGATGAGCACTAGTGGGCCAGATGCAGCGCACGGGGACACACTTTTAGCCTTAGTGCCACCACAGTTGGCAGGACTGCTGACACAATCCTCGCCACTGTCTCAGAACAACCTGCTTCACTTTTAGCAGGCCAATTTCTTGAACACAGATTTTCATCTCTATTCCTGCTCCGTAAAACCCTGGGTGAATAGGTCAAATCCCATGCATTTGCTTTTCAATTAGCAGTTCTGTGAATGGGTGCCAAATTCATTATGGGGCGGATTCTCTGCGCTCATCACTTACCTGTTTGGTTGTGACCATATTTCCTAATAATTTTGGGGCAAATTATGGCAAGATCAGAGACCACCATTTGAGTCAAAAGATTAACTGCTCTGCCTGCTGTTATACCCTCCACAATTGTCTCCTGCACAGAATGCCCTATAAAATCCTTCACACTGCTCTTGTAAATACAGACCAAAGTCATACCCTCTGGGCTCCTCCTAAACACATACTGCCCCACCCAGTGTTATAACATCCACATACTCTCTGCGCTTTTCTCCTGCACATACTGTCCAGCCAAATCCTTTGCACTCCTCTCCTGCACATACTGTTCCCTACATACCCCCTGCACTCCTCCCCAGCACATACTGCCTGCCATCATTACCTACACACTCCTCTTCTGCACATGCTGCCATACCCTCTGCACCACTCTCCTGCGCAAAATGGCTGCTTTCATACTATTCACATTATTCTCCTACATATACTGCCCACTAAAACAATACAACAAACTTTTGTTTTTTATATAACCAACCTTTTCCGCTCTGGAATATGCGCACAATTGTTTAAAAAATTCTCAAATATTCTGCTAATAGGCTTAAAAACCACATTGTAACTGATTGAAAATGCTTGCCAATGCGACTGATGTGACCAACTGACTAGACATACCTTTAAGACCTGGCTCACACTTAGCGTATTGTCGCAGCTGAATAGGCACAACAAAATGCTTCACAAAAAAATCCCATTCATTCTTCAGGCCCCTGTTGACACCTACTGAAAGGGGTTTGTCGCAATAATGAAAACGCCTCTCGCTGGAAAAAATACATGAGCTTCTTTTTGGCAGATTACAGCTCGTTTTGTCCCCATAGAGTCAATAGGAAACAAGCGTTTCCAATTGTTTTTGCGCAATTTCACGCAAGTTTTGCCAATTTACTTCAATGTGACACAATCTGCTCATAGAAACACCCAATGTGTTAATAGAAGCAACTTAATGCACGCAAGTTTTAAGTGTGCAAAAAAAAAAAGAATTGCAAAAAGAAAGTGCAAAAATGTGCTGCATTTAAAAAAAAAAAAATGGCTTCTACACGCCATAACACTGTCGTCTGGGTGTGAATGGAGCCTAAATGTAAGGTGTAAGAAAGAAGTATGAAGACGGAGTAAGGTAGAAAGGAAGCTCCATAAACAAACTCACCACATTATTAGACAAGTTTAGGATCTTTAGATTTGGGGCTTTGAGGTGAATGTCTGTCATGTGATCCAGTTTGTACAGTTTGTTGTTACTGAGATCCAAAGATAACAGCTGAAAGATAGAAAAATAAGTCACAATGTAAACAGATGCAGCACACATGAGCAATTAAGTTAGATTAGCTTCTTCTGTTCAAAAAGAGCACAGGAGAATGTAAATCAGAAGTATTAAGAAGCTTTACAAGAACAATTCTTTTTCATCTACATTACTATTACCAACTTTTGGCACAGGTTTTTGAGGCATCAAAAGCTTGGGCAGTGAAATTGTTAGTGCTTTCTTTACTTTATCATCTTTTATAAAACAAGTGTGAAAGACCCACCTCAGGCACATTCTCTTCAATGATCTGCAACATACTCTGCATACAGGACTTCCTGTTTAGAATGATGTCTACTTTGTTTGTCACAAGATCTAAAAAGAAACAAGCAGCATCAGCTATACCTTTTTCGAGGGTAAAGCTCATTGAGAGTATGCATGTGAAATGTTGTATGCGTACCTGGATCAGAACGAAGTGAGCTCATGTCTAGAGCTTGCTGGGCTCCATCATATCGCTTTTGCATACAGAGCTGTTGGTAAAAAAAAAAAAAAAAAAACACAAAAATGTTGTTCCTGCGGTCCAATGTAAGTGATATAAGAATATCAAAAGACGATCTAATAAAATGAAGTCTCCCGTTATCTCTGTCCTATAGTTAAAAAATTAAATTGACCGAAAACGAAGCCTAAAACGAAAAAAGCAGCCGCATGTACAGCATTGCCAGTGTAAGATCTGTGTTTCCATCCACTTTACATGCTCACCAGCCCCCAGTCACAGTGCACCCCCCATAACATTATGACTACGGACAGGTGAAGTGAATAACTGATTATCTTGTTACAATGGCACCTGGAAGTGGGTGTCATATATTAGGCAGCAACTGAACATTTGCTCCCTGAAGTTGATGTGTTGGAAGTAAAAAAAAAAGTATTTCAGCGACTTTGACAAAAGAAAAATTGTGATGGCTAGACGACTGGGTCAGAGCAACTCCAAAACTGCAGCTTTTGTGGGATGTTCCCCTTCTGCAGTGGTCAGGACCTACCAAAAGTGGTCCAAGGAAGGAAAACTGGTGACTCAGCAACAGGGTCATGGGCAGCCAAGGCTCATTGATGCAGGTGCGAAGAGAAGGCTGGCCTGTGCAGTTCGATCCAATAGAGGAGCCACTGTAGCTCAAATTGCTGAAAAAGTTAATGCTGGTTCTGACAGAAAGGTGAATGTGCATCACAGTTTGTTGCGTATGGGGCAGGTGAGCATCAGAACTGGACCACGAGCGATGGAAGAAGGTGGCCTAATCTGATGCATCATGTTTTCTTTTACATCATGTGGATGGCCGGGTGCACGTGTGTCGCTTACCAGAGGAAGAGCTGGCACCAGGATGCACTATGGAAAAAAGGCAAGCAGATAGTCTGATGCTTTGGGCAATGTTCTGCTAGGAAACCTTGGGTCGTGCTATTCATGTGGATGTTATTTTGACACATACCACCTACGTAATCATTGTTACAAACCAAGTACACCTGTTCATGGAAACATATTCCCTGATGGCAGTGGCCTCTTTCAGCAGCATGATGCATCCTGCCACACTGCAAAAAATGTTCAAGTATGGTTTGAGGAACACAACAATAAGTCCAAGGTGTTGCCTTGGCCTCCAAATTCTCCAGCTCTCAATCCAATTAAGCAACTGTGGGATGTGGTGGAAAAAACAAGTCCGATTCAGGAGGCCCCACCTTGCAACTTACAGGACTTAAAGAATCTGCTACTGAGGGCTTGGTGCCAGAAACCACAGCATACCATTGGAGGTCTAGTGGAGTTCATGCATTGACCGGTCAGGGCTGTTTTGGCGGCAAAAGGGGGACCTACTCAATATTCGGCGGGCAGTCATAATGTTATGGCTGATCGGTGTATTGTATTACAAATATTTTATGCACTGTGCTTAGTAATACGTTTAAAAATCCCTTTAAAATTAGGCAAACAAGACATGTTTCTTATAATTCACATTTACAGTGAGTACAGAGAAGAATCACCCCCTTTAAAATATTTTTTTCTGACATATTGGTGTTCTATCTTTCACTTGGATGTTATAAGTTGCACTGAGCTAAATAGAACAAAAACTGTGTGTCTTCCTTTCAGGCTGCAAAGCAACAAAATGCGATTATTTTAAAGGGGGGTGATTATTTTCTATAGCCACTGTACTTCTTCCAGCCAACAGGAATCAAACTTACAGCACTTGTGCACAACAAAAAAAAATTATAAAGATTTTATACCATTCAAATTAAAAACAGCAGTAACCAAAAACCATCTACATAGCCTAGCTTGTAAATACCTTAAAATGTGTGTTTTCCTCTTCAGTCATTTGCATTTCTCTTGCTTGAGCAGGGGGCTGAGACGGTTGCGTAAGTATAGTAACCTGAACAGCAGAGAGTTAAAGCATTAAGATCTCAGATATCACAGATTCCTAGTTTCTTCCAAAATATAGGGAAAATAATGCAAAGTATGCATCGAAGATAATATGCAATGATGCAACCAGAAGGCTAAAATCACTTTAGCTAAGAGACGCATACCTTGAAGTTTTCTCTGTCGGTAAAAGTCCTCGAGATCTGTTTCAGAGCTTTTGCAACAGCAGCATCTTCCACAAAGAAGTGGGCCCGAGAGTGGTCACAATAGTACTATGTATGAAAACAATCAAGTTAAAAATAGGAGAGTGGATATTTGAGAGAGAAAAAGAGAAATTAGCACAAAGAGAATGAGAAGACTTGGCAGTGCCCTCAAAATTAAACTCACCCCTATAGGAGAAAAAGGCAGTGAACAGGCGGTTTGCAAAAGGCCAATCAGCCAATCCTTTTCATATTTTTTGCCATATGGAATCTGTTCATGGAAAGAGGAGAAACAAAAGGAGAATACCTAAATGTTGCTGTACAGTGTTTAAAAAGATGAAACCAACATAACTATAGCACTTTAATAGCTGAGAAGACTCCAAAGGAATACCCCTCTGATCCACTTCCAAAGACATTTAAATACTTACTAAACTTGCTTGCACACTTTAAATGCATAAATACAAAACATAGACCCCTGTATGTGTTTGTATTCTCCGTAAAAACTTTTTCTGGGGGTGGGGGTCCATTTAGAGAGGTCATTACACCAGCTACAGGATTAGAACACTGGCAAACAGAAAAATCTATAGGCTAGGCCAACCCTTCTACATACAATGCCTCAGTTTGTAGCAAGCATCAAGCGCATAATCATAAACACAGAGGGGGGACCCGTGCCCCTCAATGGACTCCAAGAACAGGATTTTATGGGGAGTACAAAAATCCTATTATTGTTATTAGGGATGTCCCTATACCCCTTTTTTAAGACCAAATACAAGTACTTCCCCTTATGTACTTGCCGATACCAATTACCGATACTTTTTCTTAAAGCGACAGGTGACATTTAAAAAAAATTTAGTTTAATTTTATTATTTTTTACTTTTCCTAACAATTTTTTTCCACTTAAATTTATTGCTAATACACATGGGCTAACAAACCCCTGTGTGATAGCATTTGGAGGTGACAGGTACTCTTTATTGGCCCTGTCACCTCCAACACAGGAGTTCTAGCACAGCACAGCACTGTGCTAGAACTCCTGTGACAAGAACGAGCCGGGGACAGGGGAGGGAGGTGACAGAGCCTGTCACAGATCCATGAGTCCAGCTCCATCACTGCTCCACACCCCCTGCCCTGTCACTGCTCCACGGCCCCCGCCATCACCGCTCCACGTGCAATGGAGGTGCCTCACGAGCTGCCGATAGCTTTTTTTTCCTCTCATGTGAGGACTACGTCGGCGGCGCTGAGCGGCAGAGCGGTGGAGCTCCAGGTCGCCGGCCAACTACATTAGGCCTCACCTGGAGCTCCGCCCACAGCAGTGATGCGACGCTCCTCCAGCCTGCCCAGAGGACCCCAGGCATCGGGGCATTTTGACAAGTACAAGTACTTGTCAAAATGCCCTGTATCGGACCCGATTCCGATGCTAGCATCGGTATCGGAACATCCCTAATTGTTATCATTCATTAAGAGACACAGGAGTTCAGATACTGCCAGGATGTCAAAAAGCAGTCTAACTGAGGTGGGCAAACAGCAACAGCCAGAAGGCCCAACAAAACAGAACTGGGGACAGCCTGCAGCCCAAAAGCCACCTGAAGGATCCTTCGAATTGGGCAATGTAATAGCTTAAGAGGCAGAAAGGCATAGCTCAGGGCATACTGATTCCAAGGCATCACCAGGGCATCTGCTGTATGCAGCGTTGGGTCCCACATTATGAAGACAAATCTGTCCAGCTTATTGTTGAACCAAACAGCTACTAAATCCACATCCAGGAGATCTCCAATGCAGACATATGTCACAAAACACCTGATGGAGGCAATAACTGGCCAAATAGATTCCATCTGAAACTTTTGATGACATACAAAAGACGTTGAGAGACTTTAGCTGCAAGAAGGAACAAATGCTTCCATTGGTTTTAGAACTGTTAACAGGTTTGACTAAAAAAACAATTCTAATCCTGCTCACATGGTGTTCAGCTAACTACTTGTGTAACAAAACCACACACGGCCTCATATGGAGAAGGAAAAGAAACATCCATTCTCCTAGGAACACTATGTGAAACTGGGCATGATTGGTGTGCAAGGGGTTGTAGTGTCTAGTGGGCTGGTCATCAGTTTTCTATCTGGCCAGTTTTTCATGTGGCTAGTGTTACTGTCTCCTGTAGGAGGCAGTATACTCCTAGGTAGATTACCATCAAGTTGTGTCCCTCAGTGGAAAATGGAGAAATAGGATTTTGTGCTCACTGCAAAATCTTTTCATGGAGTCCATTGAAGGATAGATGAAGTCTTAAACCAATGGGCTATATTGTCACCTACAGGAGTGATCGGGCATTGGAAACAAAACATTGTAGGACATTTGTCTCTCATCTTAAAAGTTTTGGAGCCACAATACAGTAAGGCCTCATTCACACGAGAAAAGGCCGGCATGTACAGCTCTGTGCACGGCCATATCGGGCAGGACAGTTGCTGTGTGTGATTAGTACACAGTTCGTCCTTCTCTATGGGAGTGCGCGGCCATACGCCGCCCGACGCTCACCCGCCCTGCGCATCCGTGCGGGTGTCCACACTCGTAGGCTGACAGGATGGATCCTGTCTGTGTCCGAGCTGGGACACCCGCACCCGTACGGACCTGCACTTAGGGTGAGTGTAGAGCGGCGTATGGCCACGTACTCCCATAGAGAAGGACAGGGGCTGCGTACGAATCACACGCAGCACCTGTCCTTCCCGGGAGCTGCCCGATACGGCCGTGCACGGAGCTGTACATGCCGGCCTTTTCTCGTGTGAATGAGGCCTTAGCCTCAAGGTCAAAGGAATGGCCTTGAGTACTCATGGTACTCAAATTCCTCATGGCTCTTTGCAGCAGAAGCAACTGTGGGGAGATGCTTCGTCAACGCTGTGTGGTGGGAAAGGGTGTGGAGGGAGCATGACCCAGTAGAATGACCCAAGTGCTTTGTCCCACAGCATTTACACCTTCCATGGCAAAGCCAGCCAGAAACAGGAAAAATAATGCGATCAATGTAAATGAGCCAGTTCCCAATGCCTGGCCCAACTGGCCTACTCAGAGTCCTCAGAGACCAGGCAAGCACAGAGACAATACTAGTGGCTCTGGACCTGAAAAGCACTCCACAGCTAACTTAAGAACTAGTCCAGATGTGCTACGGTCCAAGATCCAGGAGAACCACACCTGATTAGCTGCAAGTGGGAAAACCACCAGAATCCGATTCTAGATTTCAGAGAAAAAGTTGCAAAAAAAAAACCCCCCACAGGTTTAGCCTTTAAAACTGCAGAATTAAAAAAGTGTGCTCATGCTCCTAGACACTATGTCTGTGAAGGTTCTCATGCATCCCGGTTATGGTATATCTGTAAAAATTAAGTCAAGGCAACTGGACTTGCAGTATTTTTCTTGAAGACGTTTCACTGGTCATCCAACCAAGACAGTCAAGTATGCATCCTAGACAGGGAGGAGGACTGGTTTAAAAGAGTTATGAAAGAGGCCATGTATGTAAAAATGGAATAGCTTGAATAGAGGTGGGGGGGGGACTTCTATTGTCTGCCACATACAATGCTGTTTTAACACCTCTCTCTGGGCAGGTTTTTAACACCTCCTAGCTCCAATTATGCAAATGAAATCAACACCTGGTTGTGACTAACATATTATATGGATTGGAGCGACATTCACCATATTTATTCCCAGAATTTTTGTACAAGTCATTCTGAATTGAGAAAGCTGGTCGGATGAACAGTGAAACGTCTTCAAGAAAAATACAGCAAGTCCAGTTGTCTTGACTAATTTTTACAGATATCTTAGGACACTAGCATAAAACTAAGGCATGATGGTATTAGGAGTGATTTTTTTATTTTCATTATGTTATTGGGTATTGAAACTGAACCCAATTTCAAGTCTAACAGAAATGTAAAAATAAAGACAAAACAACAGCATTTCTGCTAGTACATAATTGGAAATTCAAAGTGAACACATTTTATTCACAAACATTCACTTCACAAAGTGAACAACCTCTATTCCTTTAATAAATCAACCTCTGTGTCAAAGGAAATGCTGCCAATATAAAGCGCACAAGTAGAGGTGCCTAGACATACCAACAGGAGCCTCCAAAACCTTCTTGTTGCAGCTGAATTTTGGGCTATTCTGACAGAAAATAGCCCAATAGCCCAGAATAGCCTGCTCCTTACTGTCTCTTGCACATTCCTATTAGCCCATCACTATTAAAAGGAAGTCTCAGTGTCCAATGGAAATGTGCAGGAGGCTTGTAGAAGCAGACATGTGCTGGCACATTCAGGAAATGTCTAACTTCTGTGTGTCAGAATGGCAAAAGTGTCACCTGTGACAGCATGGTTTTGGAGGTTGCTGAAGGTATCTGCAAGCACCTAGGACCTACAACCAAAATACCTGAAAAAACATAAAAAGGTTTTTGTTCCCACAGCACCAAAAAAAAAAACACACGCGATAATCTTGTTCTGATATTGTTGCTGCTGGAAACATTTCAGATGTGCAGCCCAGTGTTTTATAGAACCCATTATGTTGCTCTTACCGTAATCTTAAACCAGCTGTTTCGGTCACCTCTGGCCTCAGGTCTATCATGATGGGGAACATCCCTAGCAGCATTTCCATGTGAAGCACCCCTGTCTCTTCCTTGTCTTTCATCTCTTCTCCTGCCTCCGCGATAAGGATTACTAAAAGGTGGGAGAAGAAGAAAGAACTTGGGAAAAGCAGAAGAATATTACTCTGTACTGACACTGTCGAAATCACAGTGCCAACATTTAGGCCTCATTCACACACAACGCAAGAGCAAAATTGTATATTGCATATATGCGGGCACTATATGTAATCCCAGAATGCATAATTCATAACAGATATTTTAAACAACTGTACGCACGTGCGTGCATATATGTGCGTACAATACGCAGAAATACGCTGCCCGGACGCATCTCGTTTCCATTCTGTTTTTGCGCATTTTTACGCTACGCAAATATACAGCTCCATACGCAGCTATGTGTATGGAGCCATTTGTACATACGCAGCTATGTGTATGGAATCATTTGTACATATGCAGCTATGTGTATGGAGCTCGGTGTACGCAGCTATGTGTATAGAGCCATTTATTTGCATATGCTGCATATGGGACAATGCGCGCGTACGCGCATATATACGCAGCGTATTGTAGGGTAGTGTGAATGAGGCCTAAAGTTACATAAATGGCACACTTTAAAAAATATATATATATAATTGAGGTTAAATTGTGAAAACTGACTTGTGTAAAGTACCGGTAAGCTAACATTAGGACCCAAACAATTCTCAGCTCATTAAAGGCTATCCATATCCAGAAGTCTAAAAATGCGAATTTCACAGCTATTATGCTAATACATGTGGCTTTAGCACCAAATGCCTTGCACTGTGTAAATAAACAAATCAAGAAATCCATATTCACTTTGACTTTCTTGAGCTACATGCTTGTTCTGGGTCACCTATCCAGGCAACAACAGCAATTCTCATATTTCTCTCAGTTCAAGTTTCCTTTAAACAGCCAACACTGGTAACTATCAAGCTACTAGTAATAGCTATAAAAGAAAAGGTACTCACAATCGTAAACGGGCGTTGTCATGTACATCACTCATAGCCACATCTCCATCTTCGTCATCTAGACGGGAACGAGGGTTAGGCTGGTAATTGCCACGATTCCGATGCTTTTGACCTGCTTCACTATACATTTTTGCCCGGAATGGGCCACGCCCCTTCCGCTTCTTCGGAAAGAAACCTCCACCAACCCGGTCATCATGGTCTAAAAAGTCAGGAAAAATACACAAGATCAAAAAAAAGGAAACGCATCCAGATATTCTAGTGCAAAAAAAAAAAAAATACATCCAGTTTCTTTTTTATTTGAGTTCAAAATACATTTTCTTGTTAGGCCTGGTTCCCACCTTGGCGTTTTACAGCGCGTTCCTACACGCTGTAAAACGCTCAACATGTGAAAACCAATGATTGCCTATGGGCATGGTTCCCACCTGGGCATTTTACAGCGCGTAGAACGCGCTGCAAAACACCCTACGCCCAAAGAAATACAGGAGCTTCTTTGGGGCGTTTTGCAGCGCGTTTCCATTGGTATTCCCAAGTGTGGATCGGGGGTTAACAAAGCGGTACCCCCGAGCCACACTGGGGAATACAGCGTACAGGTCTTACCTTGTCCGCGATCCCCGCTGTGTCTTCGGTGGCTGCCGACTTCCGGGTTCCGTCCCTTGCGAGCAGCCGCGTCGGGGGGGGCGGAGTGAAACAAAAAAAAACAAATTTTTGTTTTTTTTAAAAATAGAGAAAATAAAGGGAAAACAAAAAAAATATCGCCAGTGAAACGCGCGTTTCACTGAACAAAAAAACGACCTAAAAAATGAGCTAAAAAACGAGCATAAAAAAAACGCTCAGATGTGAACCCAGCCTCAGATTTATCCAAGATATGTTGCACAAATATAGAAGTCTCCGTTCACACCTAGGTGACAGCGTTTTTGATGCACGTTTTTTTGCACATAAGTTGCGTGTTTTCGTGAGCACATTTTGGCTCGATGTTAATAAGCAAACTCGTGTAAAAACACAGTAAACGCGCATTTTCAAGCGTTTCCTATTGACTCTATGGATCCAAAACAAGTTGTAATATGCCAAAAAAAAAAGCCCATGTATTCTAGAGCTGCAGCTAACGATTATTTTCAAAATCGATTAGTTAGCCGATTATTAAGTTCGATTAATCGGTTAATCGGATAAACAATATCTTTCCAGCGACAGGTGTTCTGCTTATTGCGACAGAACGCTCAGATGTGAATAGAGCCATAGAAATGAATAGGATTTTTATTGAGCGAATTGAGGGCAGGAAAAGCGCTGCAAACCCCTCAGTGTGAACCAGGCCTACTTTGCAAACACTCAAAAGTCAGAGAACACCAATAGTATTTTATAGCCCAAATTCAACAAATCATTTTATTGATCGGTCTAGTTACTAAAGTGTAAAGTTTATCATATTTGAGATTTCAGTTCAGCTCACAGGAAGTAACACGGGCGCTGCATTGCTGGCAAGATCAATATTCCAGTCTTGGAGAGAATGTTCTTAGCCTGAAAAAGGAAAACACCCACCTGACAAAGCTGTAATATATTACAGTGTTCTTTTTGGGTTTAGATATCCTTTAAGTCTTTGAAGCAAACTTTCCCTCCAAAAAGGAATGGTAAACATATGTCTAAATGGAAGTGCCGTCTGGCAGTTTAAACAACCTACGAGCAGGCTTCCAACAAGTTTCAAGTACTACTGAAGCCAGCAAGCAGCCAACAGGCAAACTAGAGCCAAAAAGGTGCTTTTAAAAAGGGGTTCTAAAGCCTCCGTTTTTTTGCCTATATCTACTACTATCAAGCAATAGATATAGGCAAAAAGTGAAGTAAAAAAAGAAGAAGATCGGATTAAGAGAGACATCATTTAACCAGTTGACATCCGCGGTGTTAAACCCCCTTCCCATCCAGGCCATTTTTAGTGCTGACATTAACATTGGGAGGAGGGGGAATGTCACTTTAACCTCATCTAAATACAAACATTTTTATATTGCATCTCACCAGTCCCCAGACATGGTAGCTGCATTCGTTTTCACTTTTCAGGCTAAAAGCATTTTCCGCAAGTACAGAAAATACCTGTAGATCCTGCCATAAATTAACTATACTTGTTACTTCCTGCGAGCTTAAAACAAAAGAACCTTATTTTCATGGTGTAAACTAGGGATGCACCGATACTTTGAGTACCAATGCCGATACTTGGCATTTTCATGAGAACTACCAGGGTTGCAGCGGTTGCAGCTGGGACCGGGCTCTGGTGCTCCACCACTGTCCTGAAATAATTTGTCGATATTGTCACATGATACTAAACAAAAATGTATCAGTACTCGTAAGTACTTGGGCAAGTACCAGTAATTGTACTCGCAAAACTGGTATTGGTGCATCCCTTTATATATTTTTATAAAAACAAAATCTTACATTAAAACAGAGGTGTACAAATCCCAGGAGCTCCGTGTGCTCATCACAAATGACAGCTGCCTCCTAACTTCTGAATGTTTCTCTAGTCTAGTCTTGGAGCTCGAAAAGTATCGGTACATGTACTTGTACCGAGTACTGTACTTGGTATCGGTGCATCCCTAGTGCAAACTACTAGTCCCATCAATCCACCATGTAAGAGAGAGGAACAAAGTCCTGTTTGCCGTCCACCAGTTGTGATGCCAAATGCTGGAGGTTATTACTGGTGTCACTGGCACCCATACAGGGAGTTATTACGGATGCTACTGAAACCAATGCTGAGGGTTATTATTGCGGCCATTGGCACCAATGCTGGAGGTTATAATTGTGGTCACAGAGACAACTGCAGGGGTTTATTTTGCCATCGCTGACACCAATGCAGGGGTTATTATTATTGGGATTCACAAGCCTGTACCTCGTCAATCAGCACCTGGCCGTCAAGTCCTGCCCACTGCTTTCTGTACTGATCCCACTGCATCTTTAAGGTGCCCATACACTGCTCGATTCTCGTACGAGAATCGGGCGAAATCCCGCGGTCGTACGAGAATCGAGCAGTGTGAACGAAGACGTGCGACCGTTTCTACTGTACCGTCGCACGTCTTTTGTCGAACCAGCATGTTCGAAAACCCGCCGAGAATCGTACGATAGCCTGCTCGTTCGATAGCTGTGGAACGGGCCGCTGTGCGCACAGTGCCCTTTCTGCATTGCGGTCATCGGAAGCCCGCCCCTCAGCGGGGTGGGCTTTCGATGATCGCAAGTACGACCTGCCCATCCAAGGTGGGCAGATCGTACGAGCTTTCAATAAGCATACGACCATCGCAAGACAAAAGTCTTGCGATGGTCGTAAGGTGTATGGGCACCTTTACATTTATACAAATTTTGAAAGCAGGGCAATACATCTATGAATTTCAAAGTATCCATACAGCTTTCTTCTTGTTAGCAGCAGCAGTGGAAAGCTTAAGCCACACCCACTCGCCAGTGTTATATTACCAACATAGAACACACAGCACAATATGCCGTTTCAAAGGTCAGCAATATTAAATGATAAAGCAAACTTTATCCAGAGCAACATTACTATATTGGATCTACTTTACATTTTTCCCATCATAAACCTCACCATGGTCTAATCTGGCTAAAGGAAACCTGGAAGCTGACACGAATGACTACCCTTTTTGAAAAGGCTAATTGCCTGGGATGTTATGTTGACTCTCTTGCATCCATATTTTGAACCAGTGACTGGGAACAAGTAGCAGAAAAGAATGTCTCACTTTTCTGTGACATGACATTGTGCATTGCTGGGAAGTTGCCTGTATTCATATTCTGCTAGCATAGGCCTTAGCGATTCATAACTACTTGTTATGAATAGCTGACCCCACCATCAAAATATCAGTAGATAAATAGTTATAAGGTTTTATCACCGTTTTCTTACTATGAGATGCTTGATGAGTAAAGGGATGCTTTTTGATGCCTTTCTAAACGCTTACTACAAGCCAAAAAAAAAAACTAAAAACGCATTTGGTTAATAGTTCTGCAAAGAGAGATCCTAGCCTGAAAAAAAAGAAAACATACCACAGCATTAAAAGAGAAATATGGGGTAAGTGTTTTTCCCCACAGTTCTCTTAAGGGTCACGGGAGGACATAAACTAGCGTCCTCCTGTGACCCAAAGCTCAGTAATCCGCGAGACCGCCGCAGCCGGGACGGATCCCGGCATTACTGTCGAGATCCACCCAGCTGCGTGAGTGACAGCTGGCTCTGCCTAGAGGGGGGAATCCCTGCAGGGAGCCGCGACTGACAGTCGCCTCCCGATTTGAGACAACCTGTGACAGCTTCATTGTCACACGTCGGCTCGAACTATGAGGATGAGTGATTTTCACTCACCTCATAGTTCTCCTCTAATTACTTTAACTGGGTATCTAATCACGCTCCTTAGCCATCTTGGAAATATGAATGTTTACCATTCCCTCATAGTACGAAGACATAGAAGAGAAAAAACATTTAAAGTGCTAAGTAACAAAGATTGTTTTTTCGCTAAACACTGGTTCAAAGTTCCTAAAGGAGGAACTTTACTTTTATCTTTGAAATAACAACAAAGGTACCTTTAGAAATGTTTACTAATGACAAAATCTACAAACAGATATAAACAGGGAAGGTTTCTAGATCTCCTTTATCTTCATGGAACACTGGCACAAGTGACCAGGACATGTGACCATGTACATCATTCCAGTGGGGGACAATGAGTTTCCCCGAGATCTCCCAGCAATGCACTGCTGATGTAACCTTCGCAGGATGCATCTTTCAGGCATGGGCACTAATGTGCAAGAGGACCAGGAAGTGGAAAAACAAGAATTGTAAAAGACAAATGTTTTAATATACAGTCCTGGCCAAACGTTTTGAGAATGACACAAATATTAATTTTCACAAAGTCTGCTGCTTCAATGTTTTAAGATCTTCTTGTCAGATGTTACTATGATATACTGACGTATACACTGAGTGGCCAGATTATTATGACCACCCCATCAGTACTTCGTTGGGCCACGAGATGTTGAAAGGTGATGCGAGGAATCTGACACTGCACTGTTGCCCTTCTGTTGTCTTGTACCAGTCTTGCCACTCTCCGCTCTGCCCTAACATTGACTAGTCGCTGACGGCCACAATTCACACGTTCAGACCCAGATTTTCGGCTGACAGTCCAGTCTTTAAACACTTTAACAACAGCTGCTCTTGAACATTTAATGAATTCTGCTGTTTTG